ATGTCCCAAAATTGTCAACTATGTATTTTAGACCGCCTCACCAGAGCAGACCAAAGGACATTTCAGAGCAGACTTCTTCCATGAGACATACTTTTCAGTTCACATTCTAGTGACTTCGGCAGCATGTGACTTTTTACAACTGCTGGCTAGCTTCTCTAGACACTGGGGAGACAACATGCTCTCGTTAACAACCTCGGAGGACAAAGAAACAATAAGACTATGCTCCAGTGGCAGGAGGTCAGGTGGCCAAGGCCAATGGCATCCGGGCTTGTATCAGGAATAGTGTGGCCAGTAGGACCAGGGAAGGAATTGTCCCCCTGTACTCGGCACTGGTGAGGCTGCATCTCAAGTACTGAGTGCAGTTCTGGGCCCCTCGCTAAGAGAAGGACGTTGAGGTGCTGGTGTGGGCCCAGAAAAGGGCAACAAAGCTGGTGAAGGGTCTAGAGCACAAGTCTTATGAAGAGCTGCTGAAGGAACCGGGGAGAAAAGGGGAGGCTGAGGGGAGACCTTACCACTCTCTACTTAAAGGAGGTTGTAGTGAGGTGAGGCTTGGTCTGTTCAACCAAGTAACAAGTGACAGGACAAGAGGAAACGTCCTCAAGTTGCACCAAGGGAAGTTTAGATTGGGTATTAGGAAGAATTTCTTCACAGAAAGGGCTATCAGGCATTGGAATTGGTTTCCCCAGGGCAGTGGTGGAGTCCCCATCCCTGGAGTTATATGAATCGTGTAGACCTAGTGCTTAGGGATATGATTTAGTTGAGGACTTGTCAGTGTTAAGTTAACAACTGGACTCAATCATCTGAAAGATCTTTTCCAATCTAGGCAATTCTGTGACTGAGATCACTGAACAACTGAAACACAGGCAATCTCATCAAGTGTGCAGGCCTTCTTCACATGAGTTACAGGACTTAAGTATCTCACCTAAATGTCAAAAGGTAACACTAACAATATCTGAACAATGAGATGAACTTTAGGAGAAAAGCATTCAATGGCATTTCACCCCTTTGTGTAAATAATGTATTTTGGCAACCAAGGGGTGTGATTTCAAGATTCTGCAAGGAGGAAGTGAAAGAAGCGTGTGTTTACTTAGTGGTCTCTGCAATTCTGCATGTGGTTTGTTTTTCTGCTGAGGTAGCAAGTGCTTGAATAAGCCTTATAATAAGATGAAAGCTTCAAAAGTTTTTGCCTTCCAATAACAACCACATGCTTCCTTTTGAAAGTCTGGGACACAATAAAATAAAAAGCTCAGCTAATTTTTCCTGATGCTGTCAGTTTGTCTTTCTGAAATATTTTAATGTTGCCCATTTTTTTTGAGATTTTTTTTTTTGCTAGGTTTTAGGAAAGGTATAGGCCTTTGTTTATTCAAAGAACTACACAAGTGCATACCCAGTACAGGAGAAGTATTCACTGATGCAAGTCTCCACTCTCCCAAGACTCAGCAACCAAAAGGACAAGTGAGCATTCCTCCAGCTTGGCTTGTTTGGAACTAGTCCCACACCCAGACCTCTCTAGGGAACTTGGTCCCAGACCTGTAGTCCATTCAAGTGCAACTGCCTCTCCTAAACACCTCTCTTTCAGCAGCTATTCCCCTCATGGCTTAGGCCTCTGGGTTGAAAATACCACGCTCTGGTCAGACAAGACTTCCGGTTTACAACACAGAAGCTACACATCATTGTCACCCTATCATGAACTGCTACCAGTTGTGAGCTGGGGCTCCATCAGGAGTTCCACAGCCAAAGGCCAGGACTTACTGTTGATTCAAAGTTGTTTTCAAATCACCTTCTGGCTGGCTACTTGAAACAACTGAAATAAGAGATAAGAAGCAGTCTGCAGCTACAGCAGTTTGTATCAAAAGAACAAGCACAATTGCTTAGAAATCATGAATTAAAAGCTGCAGTGAGCTTAGAAGTGAATCTAAAACCACATAAGCTTTATGTTACACACCTGAACTTTATTTCTTTAAGTAGCAGTTAAAAAAAATTCCTTAAAAACCTTACAGGCTCTCCCTGGCACGTATTTCATCAACTGAGTCATCTACATATATTCCCTAGAAGTCAATTTGCTTATCTGTATCAGAATGGTACAGCTATAAATACAGCTTGCTCCTGCGAGGTAATAGAAACGCCTAGTAGATAAAAAGCAAAGACATCATTAAGATACTAAAGTCCAGAAGATTCAAGCAGTTTCTAAATTATGATCAGGAAATTATGTAACATAATGATTCATTAAAACAAGTTGCCATTTCTTCATAAGTCGGTGCTAATCTTCAACTAGTACCATTAATCAATCACACTGCACTTATTTTGAAACTTGGTAGCATTTTGTGGACTGCAAAATGCATTTGAAGCAGCAAAACACAATTTTATTTCCAGTTTTTTTAGGGAGGAGTATTTACGAATATTTGCTCTAACATAATGATGTCACTGTGTACTGCTCTGTTGGACATTACTATGCAGTCATACCATCTAGCAATTTGTAAAAGCAATCAATTGCAGATACACAAAATTAAAACCTTACAAGTCATTACAGTTGCGCATTATTTGTGCCCAACTTTGAAGACAAAGTTTAAGTATTATGTCCAGTTCTGGGTTTCCTTGTATGAGAGAGACACAGACATACTGGATAGGCTCCAGCAAAGGTCTACAAAGATGATGAAGGGACTGGAGCCCCTCTCCTTTGAGGAGAGGCTGAGAGAGCTGGGACTGCTCAGCCTGGAGAAGGCTCAGGAGGATCTTAATGTACGTAAATACCTGAAGGGAGGCTGCAAAGAGGACAGAGTCAAGCTCTTTCAGTGGTGCCCAGTGACAGAACCAGGTAGTGGGCACAGACTGAAACACAAGAGACTCTCAACATCAGGAAACACATTTTTACTGTGAGAGCAACTGTGCCCTGGCACAGTTTGTCCAGGCAATTTGTGGGGTCTCCATCCTTGGAGACATTCAAAAGCCATCTGAACAAAGTCTTGGATGACAGACTCTGACTGGCCCCGCTTGAGCAGGGGGTTGACCCAGATAACCTCCAGAAGTCCCTTCCCTTCCAGCCTCAACCATTCTGTAGTTTTATACAAAAACACAATATACATTATATATACTATAACAACATATAATATAAATCTGTAACATACACTGCTTTAACACATACAAACATATGAGCAAATAGTGAGATAGCAATACAGACATTAACTCAAAACCAAGGATAAATTCATTCATGTACACTCAATAATATGACTTAAATGTAGCACAACTACTTTGACAACTGTAAGTCACCTATAGAAGAAGACACTTGCTGAGATACAAGGTTCAAAGTAACTCAAGGTACACATGCCTCAAAATTTGCATAAACATGGACCACAGGAGTGCTGGAATAAAAGGCTTCCCTTCTCTGATGACGTATGCAAGGAAATCCTACAGTATCACTGATGGTCTATAGGGGAAATAAGGAAAGTTGCTCCATTCTAAAACTCAAAATAAGCATGTGGGCATTCACTTAGTTATATTAGCAATGTTGATTCAAAAATGCTGTTTTAAAGAAACTTCAGCGCTTGTCAAACTCTGTGTCCAGTTTTGGGCCCCTCACTACAAGAGGGACATTATGGTGCTGGAGAGGGTACAGAGGTGGGCTACCAAACTGGTAAAGGGCTTAGAACATAAGACTTATGAGGAAAGGCTGAGGGATCTGGGGCTGTTTAGCCTGGAGAAGAGCAGATTGAGGGAAGACCTCATTGCTCTCTACAGGTACCTGAAGGGAGGTTGTAGAGAGGTGGGGGTTAGTCTATTCTCCCTAGTGGAGAGTGATAGGACAAGGGGAAATGGATTTAAATTGCACTAGGGGAGGTTCAGGTTGGATGTTAGGAAGAATTTCTTTACTGAAAGGGTTGTCAGCCATTGGAACAGGCTGCCCAGGAAGGTGGTTGAGTCACCATCCCTGGAGGTGTTTAAGAGATGGGTGGATGTTGCATTGGGGGGAATTGTTTAGTAGGTTGATAGGACTGGGACAAAGGCTGGACTCGATGGTCTTCTAGGTCTCTTCCAGCTGAAACTATTCTACAATTGTGTCAGTATTTGCTCTGTCCCCAGATGCAGGCATTTCTAAGGCAAGGCACCAGTCTGCTTAGCATAACACTGAACAGTAATGCCAGGCCAAAAAACCCAGAAGTGCCTTGTAGAACAGAAAATAAAGATGAAAGTTATTCCAGCTGAAAACACAATTTAAAAAAACATCATGTATGTAAATGTTAGTCTGACCCCTCGTTCAGTGCTTAACAACTGGAAATTTAGAAAGCAGACTGAGCAATGACTGCGCTTGGTACCTCACCAGAATGTCCAGTTCAAAGCAGATTCAGACACTCAATTTTTACCAGCAATTTTCTGGATGAGAAATGACTAAACCAAAATTTCCTAAAATAGGGCTGTGAATATTAAACCACACAGCTAGCTATCTATGGCTAAATCCCTGAGAACTGCGTATCCCCATAAATTGCTGAGTTTACGACGAGATAGTAACGTTTAATAGCGCAGCAAACGACATTTGCTAGAGCAAATGATCATGAACATTCAAAGGAAAAAACCAAAAAGGTAACAAAGTGGAAACAAGATTTTGTTATCTCTTTCAGAGAGGATATATGTAATGAAAAATAGAAGTTATTTCAGATTTTTAGATGGAGCTTGTAAAATTTTTTTTTCTAAAAACTAAAGGTTCTTTTTTTAAATAATAAAGACTGTAAGAGCTTGATCCCCAGCATTCCCACCACAACACTCCCAACTTTTGTATTAAACAGTAGATCATACTAAAGAAAACTTCCAAACAGCATTTTTTAAAGTTTAACTTGAAATAAGCTTAACATTTTGCCACAGCTTAGGAAGACAGAATGACATCTTTGTCTTCAGAAATAAAACTTGAGTCAGAGCAGGAAAAAAAAACCAACTCCACAATTGTTCCCATATTCTTTGTCTGAAAATGCAGTGGTAAATTCAGAAATCAAGCTCCTCAGACTTCTTACCTTATCACTTTTTTCTCCAGATTTCTTCTTCTTAGGATTATCCTTCCAGATAGATTCTACAGCAATATATCCCTGAAGACTCCAGTCATACAGCTGTGTACCAGCGACCTTTTAAACAAAAGATATTAGAAAGCATGAACTTAATAATCTGGGAAATATTATTTAGCTTCTTGTTTAAGCAGAAGTGTCAAAACACAAAACCTTTAACACCCTTCTGTTCAAGGTGAGGGTGATAAAGCATTAATAATCCTGAAAAAAACTTGACATATGAGGAATAAGAAAAGCCAATCTGCTGTTTGAAGACTACATGAAAAATATATCCGTATAAAAAGAAGTGGAATGCTGCTGCAGGAAGATAATTCTGGTTTTCTTAGTGTTCAACATTCAACAGATTTAACGTATGCAAATTACTTTTTAATTTGACCATAATAATTTTAAAAACAAAACAATACCAACAAATCCCACTTAGTTTGCCACTATTTTGCAATTTTACAGTTTTCCTGCTTTGACAGAACCGTTAAGAATACCACTTTGTTTCTTTTTATTTACTATTTAAAACCTAATTTTCTGATAGATTGCCATAATGAATAAACCAACTGTCAACTCTCAAAAAAGAAGTCAGCTAGGAAAGACGGTGTTTGCTATACTACACCAAGAGGTAATTTCAAAACAGAAAAAAATCTTTAAGTCCAATAAAAGAGTATCTCCTGCCCCTTAGATGATATGGAACTGTAATATTCATAGTATCCTTTAAAACTCAAGAGTGTTAGGTTTTTACAGCCCCAGGCTCAGGTCAGTACTCACTTTCAATATCACTATCAATTTCTTACAAATAAACAACAGCAAAAATGGGCAATTTGCCATCAAAATTAAATTTCCTTTCAAAATGAAAAAAAGAATAACAAAATCGAGAAATAAGGAAGTATCACTCTATCTTCCACTGCAGGCAAAGCTGGAAAACCAAAACTATGAGAAGAGGGCAAGCATAAATGATGTTTCTGACACAGTTTTCTGATGTTTCTGAAAAAGTTTCTTCCAGTGTCCACTAAACTGCTGTTCAGAGGTGCCCCGAGCCACATGTGATTTCTAGGCGTATCAAAAACACACAAGGAATTTCCCTCCCATTAACTTGCTGCACTTCCCCTCCAACGCCATGCAAGTTTTTAGCACCCACAACATCCTGTGCCAAGCAGTTCTGCCACTGGGCACAAAAGGTGTGAAGAGCCACTTCCCTTTGTCTGAACAAAATTAAGTACCACAATGCTAAGGGATGTGCTTCTAGGCAGAGATCGTGCTGCTGCCTCACAAAAAAGGCTATTTAATAATTAGAATTAAAAGAAAACAAACCCAAATCAGCAACTAAATCCAAAACATAGACTGTTTTAAATACAAACACTTAGCATACTTAACAGTTACATACTTGACAATTACTAGTTGTTATGATGTACTGAGTTTTCTCTGTATCTGAAGGTGATAAAGGTTATCAGAAAAAAGCACACCAGCTGTTCCCGGAATTAATGTGTTAAATCTCCAAAACCCCTCAATTAAAACAGTACAGGTGTAGACAAGTTATCTTCTTTTTCAGTATCAGGAGTGTTCATTGTCAACAAATTAGTTCTGCACGTCAGAGGAGCCTATGGCTCACCTGGAAAGATAGTGTTACCAGTTATGCAAGCCGTACAAACCAACCAGGACTGAAAAATAACCACAGTTAAAAAAAAAAAAAAATCAAAACACAACACCCCACAACAAAAACAACAAAACCACAAACAAAACAAACAGAATCTGCAATGTTACTGAGGCCACAGCTATCAACATAAAATGAGAAATAACAACTATCCATAAGCCATTATTTCTTGTTCCTGCTTAAAAAATAATTAAAATACTTAAGAACTTTCTAAATACTTAACAGTTCAAACTTAAAAATATCCTTATTATAGGAGTCATACGATCAAGTGAATTATGAATTGCACTACATGAGTCACTGGTCACTCAAATGCTGGAGTGAAGTAGCTACTTCACAAGGGAGGGCAACAAGGGAGGTCTCCCTCAGGCAATCAGCATTCCCACACTGTACACACCTCCCTCCAGCTGGGACCCACCCTCACCTTCACAGTTCCCATGGGCTGAAAAACACAATTCTACACAGAATCTGGAAGCTAGATCTGGAAGCCTCAAATTCCAGGGTCAACAGGAACATAGCCAAGAAATTTTTATAGCCACCCAACGCACCCACTCGTCGACACATCCCTAGAGCCACAGGTTAGGCTTGCGTTTTATACCTCTCTTGTTCACAGAGGAGTTGAAGAGGAAGCAGGTGGATGCTGCAGTTGCCACCACTGTTCTCAGGAGTGGCAGTTCCAACCAGGACAAGTAAAAGGAACAATAATCGTACAAATGGTTTACTCAGTTGTTCAAAATGTTCATTCGAACGTCCATACAAAGAGTTCCTTTCAAAGAACTTCCTTTTCCGTTCAGTCATCTGAAATTCTTAATTTCTGGAAGATAACAATTTCCAGCTGGTTTGTGTTAAGTTACAACAGGCTAAAATACCATCTCTGTTCAATGTGACAGTATGTATGCTAAATTTGAACAAACAAGTTCAAGAGTCAGATTGAGTGGTTCCCAGCAGGGACTCTGAAATAGTTTGAAAGTGACCTTGGGCCACAGACATCTGTACTGGGCATGTCTAGGGTAGGAAGAGCAGTCTCTAAGGCCTAACGGGCATGTAAACAAGCTCCTGTATTTTAATTCCACGCAGAACCATAAGCATATAATACTGACTATTGCATATGTTACACATCAAGATTATTGAATTATGGCTAGCAATCCTTAATCTACAATGCATGCCGAGAAACTAAACTGAGAATTTGCTGGCTTTTCTAGATTTGTATTGTTGACAAAGTAGCCCTAGTGCAATTTCACAAGCATTTCATTCTGCACTGGACACGGATCAAGAGACCCCAACTTCTTCTCTTCAGCTTACAGTTCCCGTAACCACGCCACGCTCTTGGTTGTGCCAGTCCAACTATTTATTATGCCTTATGGACTCAATTGGGCGAGGGATGAGGTATAGGTTCAAAAGACACAGAAATAACTTAGTTTGTTGTCAAAGAAATAAACGTATATTAGTAAGCTTTTTCTTTCAAGAAGAAGGTAAGCATAACATGCTACTTTAAAAATTTGAGGAGTTTTAGTAAGAAGGAACAAAAAATAATTACAATGATAAAAAGACTGGTTTAAGTAACTTCATAATGGAAAGTTTTTTCGAGATGGAGGATAAGCCACAATAAAGACAAAATATTTTGAACGTGTTATGGTTCACTGGAAAGCAATACAGTTCCAAAACACTAGTTAAAAGTTCCATCAGAACAAAATGAACTTTAGTATTAAATTCGGTTTCCTTACCACTTACACAGTCTAATCATTTGTTCAAAGTTATACAAATTACGGTATAAGGAAATAAATCCCTTACAAATCTGTGATTTATTAGACAGATCACTAAAACAAGAAAAAAACAATAATTAGCCTGGGCACTTCTTCCACCTCCAGTTAGATAAATAGTGTCTGAAAACTACCCATTACCAATGAAAATCTCTGTTGCTATAACATCACTTAACAACCGATACATTTTAATTAAAGGCAAAGGATTTCTTCCAGACAGATGCATCAAGTGTTATACCTCAACTGCAAATATATATTGCTGTGTTTATTTCCAGCTCTCCAATGGAAAGTCTTTAACAAAGGTCAGAAGGAAAAAAAAACCCCCACACCCAAACCTTTTAAAAGTGTGGTTAAATCTGAAACTTTACTGAATGAAGGGAACTATACCACTACATATGAAAAAGCAGCAATGAAGTACTCAAATGCGGCAGAAAATCCCTCAAATATAAAGCATATATAAAAAAAAAATTTATGTTCCAGAATATTTCCTATACTGTTCTATTAACTTGGCAAGTGAGCTATGTACTGCAGACATCCCTTTCTAAGCTTATAGAAATTTTCTGAAAGGCCAGTGAAACATTTAAAAATAATTACTAGAGAACGCTTCCAATTTCAGATCAAAGTATTAAAATTATGACAGTTAAGATCCGATATGCTTAAAACTTTGTTTCTTTAAGAAAAACAAAGTGCAAGCGAGATTATAGGAACCAAAACAGTATCTAGGATATCACTCTCCCCACAGTAGTTTCCAAATTCATATGTCTAGTGTCCTGACCAAGTCAACAAAGCTAAGCCTATTCCAATCAAGTTTCAGGCTCATGGTCTCATATCAGATTTTTCATTACAGTCAAACTAAGAACTGTGAATTAATCAAAGGGCAATCATGCACTTCAAAGTTTTCATAAAATAAACATGGTATTGTGAAGCTGTTAGTAGCAAATCCTTACTTAAGACTGAAATGAGCTTCTTTAAAAACAATAACATCAGTTTGAACACCGTTCAATCACTTCCCACTTCACCATTCAGAAGGCAACTAGAATTTTAATACATCATTTCCAACAGAGACGTCTAAGCTTCTTAAATTTTCATTATTTTTCTTCCTGCTGTTGCTTTCAGCGACACTGCCACTTGCATAATATTCACTCCCTGAGCACAAGCCAACAGAACTGTCTGTATTTAGAGCATCTGAATCCTGGAAGCACTAAAAAAAGATTCCATCAAAGATCAGGGTATCATCATATTGGCAGAGTTCAAACACGGCATTTTTGACTCCCTCTAAGTCAATGACCTTTCCGTTTTCAAAGAGCGTCATGTATTCTTGAGAATACCATATTTTCATCCTGACATCAGTGTTAGTCACAAGTAACCAATAACTGTCATAACCAGATTACCAAAGCCCCAAATATAAAGAATTTCTGACACGCTAAAAGATGTGCACTGTGAGTGGTTAAAAGATGGATCTGAAAAAGAACGTAGTGAGGAACTGAGGATTCTGCCGGTACAGTTAAGTGTGGACAGCAAGGCACACAAAGTGACATCAGTAGCGCCCGTGAGCAACTGTCTGTCCTCTTCACTTCTCTCTTTCACAGGAAACTACAAACCTAAGTTAATGTTTCTTATGTGCCTGAAATAACAAACAATAAATAGGAAAGGCATCCAGTAAGTGGCAGAATTCTTACCCCACTCCAGAATGTGCATCCTACCTTTCTCAAGATATTTCAGGCTTCCTTAGTATTGTAATTAAATGTGCAAACTGTACTTAATAAGCATATCTATGTTAATTTCCTTTCTGAATCTCTAACCTCAAGTAATTACACATTAAGTATCTCAAACTGGAGACACAACTGCAGATGTTCGAAAAAAGTCATTAAAAAAACAGAATGTCTGACTGTCTTCCAGCTTAGACTGAATGCTCTTTGACAAAGTGCCTACTATTTTGTTAAGCGCCAAGCACACACACATGGCTTTTAAAAATGAGTTATCACTTAATTTGAAGGTAGGAAGCAACAGTCGAAGTAAAAGACACTTCTCCAAAGAAAAGTATCAACACTGACCTTTGCAATAGCAGCCGCCTGCTGAGGGTAATACATGGAGGCACCAATACTCATCAGACCTGCAGGATACACTAGCTTCTTTATTTTTGAGCCTGTTTCATAACAAAACAAAAAAAACAAAACCCAACAACAAATCACAACACAAAGAAAACAAAACCAAAACCAAAAATGCTGTTAGAGTACATATTAACGAAGACATCTGAATGGCCCTAATCTTTTATTTATAATCAAACTCATTTTATTAATTGCAGTTTAGCATATTTTCTGTTCAGTCCTACTGGTTTCTTAAGAAACATGAGTAGTCTGATCAGTAATTATTCTCTTAACCTTTTTAGGAGACTATTTTTATAATCATCTTTCCATAATGAAAATTATCTTACAACTGTATTTAGTTGTAATACATAATTTATTTCAGTACTGAATAATGAAATAAAAACCACAGTTAAGAGAGAGTTCAGAAATTTGTACCAACTAATTCTCTTCTCTAAACTAAAAGGAAAATTCTGGCAAAGAAAGGTTAGGATAGCATTCCTCTGATACATGGGGCAGAACAAGAGACATTCCAATACAAACTAGGAGTTACCTTGACTCACAAATACCAATTCTTCCACAATTGCTCTTACGAATAATTTTTCTTGATTCACTATAGCAATTTGCAAAGCATTTGAAAGTACTTTTAAACTAAAGTACTTACAATTATCTTGCATGCCTATTGCTCATTCCTCAACTAAATTCTGAACTTTTAAAATCAATTTGAACTCTCTATTCAGCAATTTTTACTTTTATTAAACCTAGGACGCTCTAATCCTTCAGATCCCCATCTCCCACCATTTTGCTACAGTTGTAAAGGCTCGTTCATAATCACATAACTAAAGAAGCGTGAATCCGAAGAGGAAGAATTTCAAATGCATAAAGTTGGAGAGCTTGATCTTAATTTAAAAAAAAAAAAAACATGCAAGGAAAAAAATTAAAAGTATTGCTTTCATCATCTTCACTGGAAAATTAAATACTTTGAGGATCGCATGTATTCAGAGAATGCTTTCCGTTTCTACATAGCCAAGCACATGCTTTCAGTTTGTTCAACACACACAAGCCCAAAGGTGTATTTTTATTCAAAGCAAGTTCTCATTAGTATTTAAATTCTAGAACTTTACAGTTCCATTACCTAAAAGTTTTCTTGTTATGTTACTTCGTTTCAGTGTATTAAGAATATCTCAATACAAACACAAAATACTTTTTCACAACTAACATTTCTTAAACTAACATTTATTTCTACGAGACCAGAAACCTATTAGTTTTTCCAGCTAGTGGGATGAAAAGAACTCTGTCACTTTTCTGTAACACAAAACTTGCATATATTTATAGCACACCCAGAGTTCACAAGTATTTGAGCTGAGTATCACCATCTGCAGCAGTTCTGTGCTTGAATACATAACTAGTTGTACTAAAGATCAGGAATCTTTGTATTTTAACAGAATTTATTCCTCTGCAGTTTTCTACAATGACATATATGATCAAATATGATCAAGACCTTAAGTAATTAAGATTTTTAGGATAAAAAAAATAAGTAAAATCCTTCCCATTTTTGCTATAATAAGCTAGAACTGGAAAAGATCAAAGACTAGATTCCAGTAATAAATACAGTATTCATAAACACTAATTGATGGTTACGACACACCCTTTATGTGAAGTTTCGTTATAATTGAAGGAACATTGCAGAAACATGCTTGTACAGGTAACTCAAATCTCACGCATCGTAATTAAAAAAACAAACAAATACCAAACAAACAAATAAATTATTTATCCCAAATCATAACATAAGCAGTTCACAAGGTTTCCACTCACCTCTGGCAAGAAACAATCCAACAATTCCAGCAAAACCTATCACACCAAGTCTTGGATAAAATCCAGCAGGGGGGTTTTGCAGAAAATCAAAGCCCTCTGAAAAGAAGTCAGAACAAAGTGCTTTAATGTAACGTGAAAGTGTTTGTGTGATAAGAAATCATCAAAATATGCTGGCAATTATTACAAAATATAAAGAGTTATCAAAACACATTTAACTATCATGCACATTTTAGATTTGCTGGCATAAAATTCAAAGCCTTTTAGATCTTCTCTAGTGACACATGAATGAAACTGAACATCATATTGTATCTACCAATTTCCATAGAAGCTTTTGCCTTTGCTCCTGGGTCATCTCTTTTGTTTTGCTCTTTTGCGTCTCGATTATATTTTTTTCAAATTAGCGAGAAAAAACTTTGCAAAATGGATTCTTACATTTACACGTCAACAAGAATGTTTCAGTAAAACACGGTAAAAAAAACAAATCACAGAACAAAGAAAAGACACAGCATAAACAAAGCTCACTCCGAGATGGGAGTCTGATGTGGGAATGGAAAACTATGAAAAATCTTCCATACAAATGAGTTAAAAAGTCTGATACTGCTAAGTTTAAGGAAAAGAGGCAGAGTGGCTGAAATGAGCTCTAGGCAGCATCCATGCATAGTCTTGATAAGCCTAAGTATGAAAGGATGCTTCCAAAACCAAAAATAAATACCAATTATTTTGGATCAATTCAAATTTCTTAGGAGATCCAAGGAAGCAAACGAAAATAAAAAGACTAAATATTACAAACAAAAGACCTAACACTTGTGACAAATAATAAATATTGCAGGAAGTTTAGATACTAGGCTGGGCCAAGCAAAACCTACTGGCTGGGAATAAAATATAAGGCTTTTTTTCCTTCTCTTTCTGCATAACTGTCATTTTTAACAACATTGAACAACAGAGATTCAGGTATCAGATTTTAATTGTTTAGAAATGTAGTGTCATAATGACCTGCAAAGAAATTTAAACAGATAAACAGTGCAAATAAAATAGTCTTAAAGGCATAGAAATCACATACATATGGTGCTTTATGGAATTCCCTTTTAACAGAAGATACAGTACAATCCTGCATTTTAATGTGCTACTTAAGAAAACTAAACTGATTTACCTCTACCATGCTCAACAGCTTTTTCTAATTTGGGCATAGCTTTGGCATAAAGATCCTAAAAAAAAAAAAAAAAAAGGAAACAACAGTAAATAGACACCAAGTAAGTAAAATATTAATTATAGATTGTAACTGTCCTGATGAAGAAAAGAGAAGGGGAAAAAAAAAAAAAAGTGCTGTGTCCCTAAAATAACTTTTTTTTTTATTTCCACTTCCACCATTCACTTCCAGGGGTATGCTTGCTCAACGTTAGATTTGGCATTGGGCACAGATGAAATGTAGTATCTCAAAACACGGAAGTCGACTTCAGTATTTCACTGAGCTCCTGATCAGGTAGCTCAAATACTTGAGTTGGTGCATAGGAAGGAAGTACAACACTTCAACTCCTTCCAAGCGCTTCACGGGGGTACATGACTCCTTCTGCAAGGTGATAAATTCCACTTTCCAAGAGACTATCTTAGGCTAGCAAAACTGCTTTTTTGAAGTGACTTGGAGAACGGGACGTCCACACAACGTCCAAAGTAAATCAAAGAGCACTGCATCAAACTCACGGACTTGTTCTAGATTTTTTTCTCAAACTGAAAACATGCAGGAAGTAAAAGAATTCACATTGCCTTTAATCACAGTAGAAAAAAAAAGAAATCTCAGTAAGAGCAACCCTGCTAATTATTATTACGCTAACAATCCTTCCAAGAGACAGTGTAAAGCTGTCTATCAACTAGGGAACAAATTCACAAACATGCATGCCCAGAGCTAAAGCAGAAAACAGTCTCACAGCCCCTCTAGAGCTGTATCTGTGCAGAAGTGAAAGCATTTGTTTAGAATACTGCACAGGGGATAATATCTTTTGACCTTTCACTTCCTCACTGGCAAGAGTGACTTAAAAAAACAACTTGTCATGGAAAAAAAAAAAAAAAAAGAAGTGTTAACATGTGACTCACAATATAACTCTAAATGGATGTTGGTCTTAAAAAAGCCAATGGAAAAAGAACATGCTCTGAAGATCACAGAGACTAAGTCTGCTATTCTGGCTCACAGGTAATTGGCTCATTTCTACACCTGTGATTTGAACTAACTTTCCACTAAAGTTAAGCAAGCAATTTTGAAAAACTAAAATGGATATACAAACATAATTTTTATGTTTTTAAAGACAAGTGAGACACATCTAAAATGTCATTTTCTTTAACATAGCAGGTGGTAGAGGTGGTGTAAACCCAAAACAATCCCTGACTACAGTAAAGCAAGCAAGATGACCCCAAACCCATGAAGTTTACATGCCCGCTTTGTAAAATGAGTCAGTAAACCACCACCAGGAAATGGCTTGTTGTGTGTAAGCAGGCAAGGACATCTCGTGTAAATGATCACCACGCAGACAAAAAAATAAAGCAGATGGGAACAAAACAGGCCAGTGAGACATACAGTGCTGTTCAAGCCTTACCTGCAGTGAGTCCAACCAGGCAACTAACCTTGCCTCAGGTTTCATTCCCAGGTTACGGTTACCACAGGCAACCCATGTATCCAAGGAGGTCAGACCTCTAACTAAAGTGTGGAAAACAACCCTTCTCCTTCAAAACTGAAGTCAGTACTCCTGCTGGTGGCACTTTGGAAACACATCGCTAGACTGAGTAACCCTGAGTATGTTGATAAAATGTTTTTGTACTGTTAAAGGTTAGTGCCACAACACAGAACTTCCAGGCAGAAAGGGCACCTTGATCCGAACTGCTTGGCTTTCTACGGAGAACTGGAAAAACTGCCTTCACAAGGATTCACAAGAACCAGAGTACCAAGGAGAGAATCACCTGAAGTTGCCAAGAGGCAATGAGATGAGAAGGATACCCTTGTTTCAAAAGTAAGCCTCAACATTTGCTGGGTCAGGAAAGAGAAAGAAAGCCATCATATGACCCTGCAATCTATTTTCAGTAATTTATGCCTTGATTACAAAGATCTTGGTTTTCCTCTATGCTCCAAAGACTATTTTTGTCTTTAATGACTGCCTAGTATAAACATGGTACCTAAAAAAGTACTTAAGAAAATTTTGGGGTAAGTTCTGGGCTTTAGTTTTGCCACTGTTAGAGGCCGGGGATTTTCTCTTTTCCAAAAGGCTGCACTCCTTCCCTTAACATTCCAGTTCAGCAAACACTGATTTATTTTCCACAAAGCTGTGTTCTGTCACACTTGCGGTGAGGACAACTTGGTATTGCTGCTCCAAAACACACTGCTTCATAATTTAAGGCCTTCTCCTTGGGTATGGAAAATACAAGTTTAATCACTCTCATCTCTTCCTCAGTCAGAGGACTGTACCAAATCCAGATATCCCTAGATATCTTCAAGCTTAAATTTTATTTCAAATAAAAATTCTAAGCTTTAGCTAATTTAAATTCTTGGTGAGGGGGATATAAAATGCAAAAATGCAGGCAGATCAGCAAAGTAGCAGAAAGACCAACTGGGGTTTGTGTGAAGAAAATCCAAACTGTGGAAAATTTCAAGTAATGCAGCATTTTAGAAAAACGCTTGTACAGCTATCAACTTTTACTTCGCTGCTATTACTTATGCCTCCAAAAAAAAATCCCAGCTCAACCCTTATCACTGATCCACTCCCAGATGTGATAAAAACCATTATACCTGACACCAGGCTGTATACGGTTCCATAGCATGTCGTAAATGTGAAATCTCCTCTTCCAGTTGGGTTTGTGGATTCTCCACATATCTCGTCTCACGAGCTGGAGAGGAGTAGAGCGACAGCTGTGAATATCAGCAAACAAGAGGTTAAAACCAAAGGTGTAATTGTGTAAGTAGGTCTTCAGGGCATGAACAGTCCAACCAGAGAACACCTAACACAGTGCTTACTACATAAACAATACATAATAAAAAGTCAGGCATGGCTGTGAGACAATTACGAGCAAAGTTTAATTATATACTATGATGAAGATGACTTCTAATTGCTGTGCAATTCATCCATAACTGCTATATGATCCAAGTCACAGGTTATAAATTAATATTTAACTACTTTAATAAGAACACAAAACATAATTGTGAAAAATGTTTCAGGTCTTCATCAGCACTTCTGGTTCCCAGCTAACATACCAAATCACAATCAATCATTTTCTATATTTGCACAAGCCGTCATTAAAGCATCTAAGTAGCTCCCAACAAAGCTAACATCCCATATAAATTTGTCTGATTGTTACTGAGCAGGAAGACAGTACCACATCCCAATGCTGTAGTCATTAACCACAGCAGCAACTGGCAGCGTTAGCAGCACCATGGGGCTGAGCACATGGGAACTGTAACAGCCACTGGATCGATTCAGATTGGACATTAGGAAGAAGCTCTTCCCCATGAGGGTGGTGAGACACTGGCACAGGTTGCCCAGAGAGGTGATGGCAGCCCCATCCCTGGAAGTTTTTAAGGCCAGGCTGGATGGGGCTCTGAGCAGCCTGATCTAGTGGGGGATGTCCCTGTCCGTGGCAGGGGGTTGGAACTAGATGATCTTTAAGGTCCCTTCCAACCCTGACAATTCTATGATTCTATGTGTTGTTGGATGGAAGACAACTGTATCTCTATCATAATAAAAAAGTTGCTAAGCATATCAAAATATATAATGGCACAGAATTTGTTAAATAATTTCATAACTCATGCAGTCGGATTTCCCGTAACACTTGGAAAGGTGAGCATTTTAAGTTTCGCTTCCCTAGGAAATCTGGTGACCTCTGGCAATCACAGTCACAATCAGCTTAACTTCGATCCCATTAGACAATCTAACAGCCACGTCTGGCGCAAGGACCAAAGTCGCGGAGATAAGGAAATTTCCATGTATTTTACGTGATCAGACAGCTGACCGAGCAGAGATCCAAACTAATGTGCTCCGTGAATGGGAAAAAAGGCAGCCAAAACTCCACGGCTTGCACATTCTGCTTTGCTGAAGCAAGCCAATTCTTTGGTATGTATGTAACTTCAGACTCCTGCCTCCTGCCTGACTCACGCCAGCAGCAGGACAGGGCACGCGACAGCCCCGGCTGAGGTTACTGTGCTGGGGGAAAGCCAGGAGATGGCTTCAGCCACCGCTCCTGTCGTGGGATGCGTGTCAACTGCCGATGCGTATGCAGCCAAAAGACCTACCTACACACAAAAATACGCTTCATTTTGTTACACTGCCCATGCAACGACACTTTAGCTTGGGCTTAAGTACTTTATATGTTTTAAACAGCTACAAACTCACATGGATATAAAGCTGCATTTAGTTACGAACTACGATTTTTTTATTTTCATATTTTGATGTTGGAAAGTGTTAAAAGCCTGTGAGTTTTTGGTTTGACAAGGTGTTTTAAAGTTCTACTTCTGATACAGCAAAGACTTTTGTAACATCTTAGAGAAAGCAGATTTTTATTATCACTATTTTTTGTATTTGTTGTTCCTTAGGTCTGAATATTGTAAAGAAAGGAAAACCGCTAAAACCCTGTAGGCTACTATACTGGGTTCAAAGCATTGTCATACAAACATTTTGCCTGTAAAAAGAAAAAAAAAAAGAAAGAATCTTTTTTAGAAATAAAAACTTCTGGTTTGCTGTTTTACTGGAGAGCATACATGAAATTTTAATAAAAATTTGGCATTAGCACTTGTAATAAAAAAATACACGGTGTTAACTGGATAAAAAGCAAAGAAAATACTCCTGTGGATTTGAAATATGGCAAGTAAATCCAAAAACTTGAAAAGGTAATTCCTGACTGAAGAACAGAAGGCTTTAATGCAGGAAAAAGATCTTACACACAAGCAAGCCTGACACTATCAAGCAGAGGGCGTCGATCACAACTGCTGGGTAAAAGAAGCAAATCCATATCATCATCTTTATTACTGAAAATTGAGAAGCAAGTTTAAAGGCCTAAATACAAAAGAGATGTACCTAAATGCTATCAAGCATGAAAAACATCACGTCTTTCAGAACTCTGCAGGTATTTCTGTATAGATAGAAGAGCATTAGGACTCTAACCTTACCTCCTCAATTTTCAGTAACTCCTTTTTGGAAGTGTCCTTCTCTGAAGAAGCAGCATAAACCTGGATAGCGAGCAAGCTCAGGCTAACAGGGGTGGCCCCCTGCCGAATTACCTAGAAACATTAGAGGAAAACATGTAAGTCATTAAGCTCAAACAAAATAGCAACACATTTCAATGCATCCAAGCTGACAATGTTTATGTCCTCATATATGGTCATACAGGGCATACTAAAATGCTTAGAAGTTAGGAGAAAGGGGAGTCAGGGGTACACAATCCAACACTTTCAGACAGATGATATCTGGAAAAGCCTAAGGCTAAAGGAGACAGAAGATACAAATGTTCATCTCATCCGCTTTCACCTCACAAAAAGATCTTCTGTCTTCTCTCCCTTGAAACATAATTTTTATTAACTTTCTCAGGATACATATTAATAATATTATATTCAAATTTTGAACAGTTTTGTGAATGCCTGTAACACCTTCAATTTACCATAGTTAGTACCAAAAAATTCAGCATTTTATTACCAGATATTGTTTGCATCTAGATTTGGGGGGGGGGGAAGGAGACTTACAGCTGGAAGTATCATAACCATTGCTTTCTAAGAACTTTAGGAATATCTCTTACTTTTCTGTGAGAAACATGAATTTCAGTACATCATGACAGATATTTGACTGGTTCTGAATACTTGCAATTCAATCCAGTCACACAACACAACCACCATGAGCAAGGTGGATGCAATTTTTCAGGACCTACACTAAATTGTATTTCTTAGCACGGCAGACTGCTTTAACTTCAAAAGCAGATGGTAAAAATCTTAGCTGTGTAGCAAATCACGAACACACAGAAAGCGTTTTCCAACAAATGCACATCCTTATTAATAGCAATGTTTAACTCAAGAACCAGCAGTTCAAAGAGAAAACCTTTCAACATCTCATAATCAGATAAACATATGCCGAGTTACAACAGCCTGGGGTTTGTTGTGTCAGGTTACAGCGTGAGTGGATCTAAGAGCCTGCGGCCACCAAAGCGGAGAGATCTGGCTCCACTCTTGACACCGGTTCCCAGAAGTCCTGCTGTTGCTCACCTCGCCCTAGCTTTGGTGGCTGGACGCTTCCGCCGCGAGGCAATTCACCTCGCCAATTTGGCAAAAGATTAATCCTGGAAAAGAAGCGGAGAGCTTTGTGCGGGCTTAGCAAGTTGAACCATCCATGAAACAGCCAGACAAGCACCAGAGGAACTGTGTGGCCAGGGGATGAAAAAGGAGAAGGCAGCGAGCCCTCTTCCTTTTCACCAGTGGTAAGGGTACAACACTGACCTAGCCGCTTGCGAAACTGAAGCCTTGGTCAAACCAATACAGCTTTCATGCTGTTATGATGATAATGGACTTAGCCACAGGACAATTACTGAGAAACTTTCTTTCTGTCCATTGAAGAACTGTTAGAAAATATCCTTGCAGCAATCCAGACAACATGCTTATTGTACACAAATGAGCATTTGCAGCTTAAATTTCTTCGGCTGCTTTGCAGATGGAATATTCATCAAATGTAACTCAGACACTCCTCAAATTCAAAATTAAACTCTATAGTTTGACAGCTTCCTGAATATATTCATTTATGCATCAAGGAACAGCACACAAGAACTAGGTCACAGGATTGCTTTTCAGAAAGACACAAGGGATCTAGTGGATCAAAAGGTAGGGAAAAACTTGCTCAAAAAGGAAGTTTTTCCTCATTTGAATTTATGGATTCACTACTACAGCACTATAATGAAATACCAGAAGGACTGGATCAGCTGCCCCACAGCCAAGAAAAAACAGGAATAATCCTTAACAGTATTTGCTTAAACAAAGATTTTCCACACACTTTCATTAGTCAAGATAAAAACATGAATGCCATTATCCACTAACAGTTGTAGAATCTATTTCCTCAATTTTTCCTATATTCACTGCAAAACTGTTCTGTCACCAAAAGGCAAAAATCTAAATGCATTTTCATTTTGAAAAATATTTTCAAACGGTCCAAATGGTGCCAAATGCTTTAAATATTTGAGTTTTTTACATAAAGATGCAAACAGTGGAGCATAAGAATGGTTTCACAAGCAGGTATCAGTGATCACAGAACTACTCAGACCTAAAAAGTCAATTATTCATATTATCAAAATACTGAAGTGGAGACATTTTCCAAAGTTTTCATATTTGCACTTTAAGTAAAATGAAATTAACCATAAATGTGCAAGACTAATCTCTCCTTAAATGTGCTGTTCAAGCTATACTGCAATGGTCCCCTATATCAGTTAAGTTTATGGGACAGATACAACTAGCACTAAAGTACCATATATATGCACACATTAAAAGGTTTATTTGGTATTATGCAAGAATAACTATTCTATTTTTTTGTTCCAAATTCACTTCTAGATTTCATTTCTTAATTTGATACTAACCACATATTACTAAACCAATTTTGTTCGAGCATGCCTTCAGTTTTGCCCATCTTACAGATATCCAGCTGACACCAAAAAAAGCAGAGCTGACATTCTTTCCTCTAAGCAATACTCTGCATTTACTTTAAGTAAAAAAGGGTATTTATTCCTTTCTCTAGGTGAAGAATTCAACTTTATCTGCTCAAGCAAATTCTATCTGAAAGTTGGAGGGAAAAAGACTATCATATTTCATCTTCTATTGTCTTGCTTTACTTTCTTTCTCAAAGTTCTTGGTTCCTAACCAAAAAACGCCTCTGGAAAGAAAAAATCCTGTATTAGTACTCAATACAAACAAGGGAACAATGAGATAAAGATTAATTAGCACTTTTGTCTCTCCCCCCCCACCATTGTCTGTGGTTTCTCAGTTCACTTGTTACTGTTATTGTCACTCTGTCAAAATTGGGGAACTGAAGAACAAAAGGAAAAAAATCCTTAATCGTACTTTTGTGAAGGCTGATATTTATCCTAATGTATGAAGCTGCTTCATTTTTCTCTTCCGTTTCCATCCTTGTCCCTATCTCTCAACCTCAATTAAAAAAACAACCCCCCTCAAAAACTCTTGAGCACTCCTGTCCCTGAAGCACAGATATCAATGACAAGCATAGACATCAAGGACAAGAAGCCAACCCTTCGGTCGTCCTGAAGCACTGAAAACTGTCAAGTCTGATGGCTGTGTAAAAGTAGGAATATTATGCATAGTACTAAATCCACCAGTTCACACATAACCACTTTAATGACAATTCACTATCACTTAGGGAATTCTCACCAATTCTAAAACAAAATCCTTATGTAAGAATTCCAGCAACTGTCTCAACATTAAGGTACAAAAATAAAAGACATTGGGGCAAGAGTACAGCAAGCATAGGGTGCTCAGCATATTGTTCTACTGATATATTATCAATATGTGACAAACAAAATGGGTACAGAAGAGAACAAATTTCAAGAATCGAGTGTCACCAGTTTATTAAAAAGCCTCCTGTTTCTCGAACAGTCATGACAACAACTCGACTGAAACCTACAACTTGCTTTTAGCCTGAAGGGGACTGGAGCTCTGATCAGAGGCCAAGCCCTTGGAGGCAACGGTCTGTCTGAAGTGCAGATCTCCACCTTCGCCCCTTCTCGCAGATTTCGCCGACGACCGACACGCAACCAAGGGACACTCGGGGGACGAGGTGAGGAAGGCAACCCCCGCAATAACGCTCACTCGCAGCTCCGTGCTGCTGCAGCCGAGAAGCAATTTCAAACGTTTCTTTTTGTGCAGGACGGGCAGGGCGAGCAGCGTGGAAATGCTCAAAAGAGAAATCATGCGGCTGCAGCAAGGGTAACACTAACAGCCCCTGAGAGGCACGGCCAAAACACCCTGCGTCCAGCTGCCGCCGGGCAAGACACGGCTTAGGTGAGTTTGAGCCGGAACGGCATAAAAATCACCCGCTCGTAACAAGGCCGGAGTCTTCTCTACCGCGTCTCGTCAGCTGGGTAAGGAAAAATCCCCACTCTGAGAGGGGGAAGCAGGCGGAAC